GATGCTAACAGCGCACCGGCCTGAAGCTAGATAAGTATGCAATAATGTAACTTAAGTAACTCTAAACGAGTAGATTGTAGATAGTGCCAATAGACGTAGGCAATAGCGAATCCCCAAGTGTTACAAGAGCCACAGCCACTAGAAAACCGGACACGCTACCAACAGAAATATGTGGAGCTATGAAACTAAAACACCATGTCGCTGAATGAATACACTTCGCTCAGCCCTGAAAATTCCAGGTGCAGAAGTGACAGAGCAACAGGCAAAGACTAGACGCATAGACCAGAATCATTATGAAGATAAACGAGTGAACTTACTGAACAATTACAAGTTCACAGTGAAAAGAAAGGACTCATTCATAGACCTTACCACTGTTTAAATTTGTAATTTTTCCCCATATCATGCGTATTTGTGTATTTTCATGTTGTGTTGCAGTAGTTAACTGCATGTGTATGTCTATATGTTTGCAACTTGGTTTTATTATTTATACTATGTTTTCAAGGCGATTGTAGTGGTGAATGTGAAGTGTAATGGAATTAATAAGTACCGTAATAAGACAATTCATTGGAAGCCCAACTTCATGAATTTGAGACTTCCATTTAACGAAGGAGCAATGTTGTGCCCTAGAGATGGAGGGGTATGATTTTATTTAACGAGGCGTCTATATCGTGTTTAATTTAATAGACATTTATTATCAGTCTTGTAAATTGGAATACCTTAGATGAACCACAGGTTGGCTAGCCAGAATGCAGAGTTGAGATCGCCTTTACACGTAGCACTTTCCTCAGACATCCGGCTTCACTTTACGGTTTATAGAAAACGTTGACAAATCGGGTCAACGACACAGAAACAAATCTCTCTTTCGCTCGACGAGTTAGCGGCCAGAAGGAATCTGCTTATTTTAGGATTTTGATTGAAGAGAATTTTTGCCACTTGCGAAAATAGTGAAATAATTGTCGGGGCTCAGACGGGAGAAGCCGCTAGCACCCTCACTTAGTAGCCGCTCAGAGCAGTCGTGTGGCGGCCATCTTCATTCTGCGACTCATCTGGTCACGTGANGAAGCCGCTAGCACCCTCACTTAGTAGCCGCTCAGAGCAGTCGTGTCGTAGAGCGAAATTGCATTTGGTAGGATCACTGATGTTTGTTAATATGTAATTTCTGGTTCAATGATTAGGGTATGAATTTTGGTTTGTTAATGGACTGTTAGGATAAAATTGGTTAAATAATCTTAGCGTATATACTTTGGTTCATGGACTGTTAAAGAGTAATTTTTTACTTGTTGAGTGACGGTTACGGTACAAGAATCTGATTTAGTAATTAAGATTAAGATGTAACATTTGGTTTGTTAATTCTTGGTTTAAAATTTAAAGTTCGTTAAATGATTCACTGTTGGGATACGAAGTTTGGTTTATTGTTTGTAGAGTATGAACTTAATCCATTGATTGACTGTTAGGACGTAACATTCGATTAATTAGTTGCGTGTTGAGAAATACCAACTTCGACTCTTTGATTGAGTGTTATGCTAGAAAATATGGTTTATTTGTGTTAAGAGATGAAATGTGGGTCAGTAACCGATAGTTAGCCTACGAATTTTAGGTTACTGTTAGGATATAAATTCAGGCTAGAGTATGAATTTTGTTCGCTATTGTTATGTGATAACTTGGGTTTACGGATTGTAGGATATAAAACTTGGTTTGAGTTAGCGAGGTTTAATAGATTACGGGTAGTCAGTTGTAAGAAGTTAATGTAGAGTGCGTAATGGCATATTGTATATGTTAAAAGGGTTGTATGTAAGTACTTGCTGATCTGATTATATTTACTTTTCTTTCCACTTGATGAATGTTTATTGGGATATTCGTAATAGTTACGTCACTGGGCGGATTAGGAGCTATCTAATAACTGGTGGTAGGATATTCTAAATTATTATGCTGGCCGTCGGGTGCCACAACAAAACTCTTTGGCAGCGGCGAGTTATAATAAGAATTCGAATGTCGCAACTGAGCGACACAACAAACTGGGTGGCCGCGTGGGATAGAATATAGATTTCTGGGGTTCCCACGGTGATGACACTTGCTCCTCAACAAGCATTTTCATCATTTACTGTGATCTGTGAATTGTGACTACTTTATTCCAAACGTTAACGACCAACAGGCTGATTCATCAGCAAATTTCGTATGCGCATCGCAGCCGACGGTGCACTGGTCGTCTTGAAGCGCAGGCCTGTGAACCGGTCAACAAAGGAAAGACCTTCCCTGCACAATTAGGAATGCATAGAATACTGACTCAGAGCCGAATGTACGATAAATAACTCGAGGTCTGTAGACACGGAGTTATATTGCTAAAAATTTGAGAGAAGTTGACAGGGGGAGGCTGTGCCCTATTCGCCCTCCGACAGCTAACTAGTACGTAGCCAGAAAACTTGCCCTGCCGAGAACCATGGACCTTCGAGAAATTCTGTTCTCCACCGTCGTCTTCATTACCGTCCAAAGTGATGCCATAAATTGTAGCTAAGGAAGTGCAGTGCGATGGTAGCCTACCGATCCCTGGGCTAGAGTAACGTAATGACCATTTGGCAACCATGTATCAGGTGTATGTAGTGAACAATAATCACGCATTTATCTGCCTCCCCTTGCGTAATCAAGCTTATCCTGATCCCGCTTCTGAAGGGACTTCCCCGTAGTTACGGCACAGTGGTGACACCTACCGTCCGTCCTTTTAACCCCTCCGTCCCAGTGGCGTATGAAAGACCGTTCGTATACAGGAAGCAGGTAGTAAGGTGACGGAAATTAATCCCAAAATGGATGGGTTGGCTCTTACATAATCACGAAAATAATCTGTCATGGTACATCGAATCAAGGCAGGAACTCGAGAAAACTATTTACATATGAAGTAAAAAGCTATACCTGTAAGAGGCCGTGAAGGCCCATAGGGTTGTGAGACGTTGAGGGTCCCATATTATCTAGACAATCATCTCAAAGATGGCGGTAAGGTCGTCAGCCTTACTCGGCGGCCGCGCTTTACTCCCCAGGAAAATTATTTAATTAATTTCTGGTACTCACTTCTGTTAGAGGCTGAGTCGACCCTAGGGTCATAGTGCGCCTGGAAGGATTAGGTCGATTGAAAAAAATCCAATGACTACCGAACAACTAAAACTACCCTCACTAATGACCCCGTAACACAAACAAACTAAGTGGCCTGTAGTCCGCAAGCGAACTATACCGACCGAGCGGCCGCCGCTTGTCGGCAAAGTTAGTGTCAACCTTTGAGGATAGAGGGTGTCACGTGGACAGCGCAACGGTTCCCATGGCCGTTAATCTCGGTTTTTTAGACCGTAGCCTCTATTTCCTTGAAATAGCTCCTCAGTTATCCTCACGAGGCGGAGAGGACCCCGTTCCAGACCCACTACTTCTCATAAAATCTGGTAGCGCCGGGAACTGAATCAGTGATCTCTGGATCTGTAACCAGAAACAACACACCGTAACACACTGTGCAAAACTTGATGGTGAGGTTGGTCTTAAAATAGACGAAGTTCTATGTCGTGCATTCCAAGGCTTTTCCATCTGAATTTCTGTAAGTCATGCTGCTACGGCACAACGGGGATTGGGGTTGTGATAACATCCAGAAGAAATTCTTGGAAAATAGTACGTACTGTAATGTAGGAATGAGGTCGGTTTAGTCAACGTAAAGCTTGCTACTGCGTGCAAACCTTTCCGACTGAGGAATGTGGACATACAGGCAAACCTGGCATTAGAACTAGCACCGCCTGAAATATTGACTCAGCTGGGGTCTAAGGATAAATACCCCTGGGGCGTTGAGCGCGGGAGCCACTTGGTAGAAAATCTGGAGCAAGTGCTAAGCAGAGGCTCTGCCCGATAACCTTCAGACGTTTTAATTAGACATTCCGACGTAGGACCAGCCCAGACAAGAGCCACGGACCTTCAAGTTCACTTGTTCATCGCTGTCTCCTTAGCGACCATCCAAAGTGGAGATGATAACTATAGCTAGGGAAAGGCAGTTTATGGTTAGGCCACCGAACCTGGGCTAGCAGGAGCTTAAATGACAATTTTGTAACCTGTATATTGATATGTGTACAGAGTGTCCCAGTAAGAAATGACATTTACAAATTTGTAGAGAAGAAAGAGACATTATGTACTGATTTTAATACCTGTATCTATTGTTCAAGTGGCAAAGTTGGTACAGTTTACCTAGTGTAATTTATTTTCGAAAATTCCTCCATCAGCATCAATGCACTTGGCAACTCCTGTGAGGACATGGCGTGTTGCCCGTCTGTGTGCATCTCGACGTTCCTATATGCGGGCGATCGCGATCAGGTTCAACTCCAAGTAATGTAACAGGAAGGCAGATGGTCAGTAGAGTCCGTACAGATGAAATGAAAGTAAAAGCAGAGAACAGTCTGTGGTCTTACAAACAGTAGCTGGATACTTCAATGAACGAGCTGTATTTATTGAAGTACCAGCAGAAATGTGCTTCGTAAATTGTACTCTTCTCCAAGTCTAGTTACAATGATCTAGTCAAGAAGGATGAGGGGGGCAGGGCATGTAGCACGAATGGGGGAGATGAGGAATGCATATAGGATAATTGGTGGGAAAGCCAGAAGGAAGGAGACTACTGGCAAGATCATGGCGTATGTGGGCGGACAATATTAAAATGGATCTCAGAGTGATAGAATGGGATGGTATGGATTGGATTGATCTGGCTCAGGATATGGACAAGTGGAGGGCTCTTATGAACACGGTAATGAACCTTCGGGTTCCATAAAATGCTGGGAAATTCTTGAGTTGCTGCAGATTTGGCTTCTCCTCAAGAAGGGCTCAGCTCCATAAGCAAGTATGTAATTAAAGGCAGAGTACCAACGGGCATTTAAACGCGCACCAGCAGCGGGCATTTAAATAAACTCCGGCCAGCTCAAGCTTACCACTGTTTCAGAAGTCCGGCGTTTAAAGGTTAAGTTAGTACCAACAGAAATCTAGCAACCAAATATTCTCTGCCTCAAAAGGCCAATCACTTATATTTGTATGTAGTATTAAGACTCTGTAACGTCCAACAGCCGTTCTTCTGCTTTACACTAAGAATTTAACGTAGAAATAACTGTTCATACAAAGGAGCGTAGCGATGGGTGAAAGTAGGTGCGCTACCGTAGCATGATTTGTGTCATCCACGGAAGGCTGAGAGACTGGTCCCCCATCTTTCGAGAAGTCACGACCAAATATCGCAAACGTTAACAGGTTCAAATTTTGCTTTTTTGTTCTCATGTTCACTTTGACTTCACTTTCCCCAGGTATTTCCTCTCTCGTGAACTCGAATGCATCAGCTGACAAGACTTTGTAATCTTCAAGTAGTGTGTTGGGTAGCTGGAGGGAGTTGTTGAGGCGAAAATTACCTGATATATGAATGTAGTCGAAAACTGTAGCAAACCTCTCCTGCTCATCTGTCTCCATTTCGTAACCACAAGAAGACAAAGAATTATTGGTACAAAACATGACGGCACAGACTTGAACGCCTCCTGTCTTAAATGTATAGGAACGGATACCGTCAAAAACCGCCAATCGATAAATATAACTTTTCCCCAAAGAATTTTGACCCTGATTATCTGTATGCATTGCCACTTCAAAGTCGCAACACAGCTCGTTGTGACACAGTGTATGTGTACTAAAAAACTCTGTCTCAGTCAGAAGTAGAGTCTCATAAGGCTCCAAATAATCTCTCATCATCCAAATTCCCGAGTTATCTCTATGCACGTCAGAAAATATATTTGGACTCGGTGTTGCTTCAATAGAATCACCAGCGTTCCAAACATTTTCTAAAACAGGTGTTGTGTTTCGGGGTGTTTTCTTCAAGACTTTAGCCACCAGCAGTTGCGTCGTAGGGACGCCTGGCATTGTTGTCACGAGAGGGCCCTCCTTGCCTGCGTAGATACCGCTGCCCGCACTACCCTCTCCCGGGAGGCTGTACCCAGCTCCCAGGAAGTTAACGTCCAAACCATAAGACCATGATGCTTGTGCCTGGACAGCTGAAAGTATAAAAAAATCAAGAGGATATTTTATTGAATTCTATGCGCTCTATTATCGAAAGTCAGAAAATTAACGTAAAAATGAGGAAGCTCTGGTTGTCTGTTCGTATGCTTCACCAACAAAATTCGCTGTCGACGGTCCACGTTGAATATTTTTGGTGAATTGAATTTCATTCAGTCCAATATCACCCTTTTTTTTTTGTTGCTAGTGGGGTGGGATTAAGTCCCTTGTACTGCGGCCACTTCTGGCCTATTGTACCAGCCCCCAGATGATAGGTGAGGGTGATTGTGGAGCAATTGGTGGAATGAAGATTGGCAGGGGAAACCGAAGTACTCGGAGAAAACCTACCCCAACGCCACTTTGTCCACCACAAATCCCACTTGTGAAGACCCGGGATCGAACCCCGGCCGCCGCGGTGGAAAGCCAGCCACTAACCTCTTGAGCTATGGCGCGGCCCGTCACCTTCACTTTACTTAACTTCAAAGAGAAATTACCGGCTTCTCAAATACTGCTCATCACACAAAAAAAAATTGTTACTAGGCCTACGCACAGACCACATTAAGGCATACAAAGTCTATTTGAGTCACTTAGTAGGACAAAAATTTATTGAACCACAGGAAAATACATGTCCTGAAATATGCTGTGTGATAAATGCAATATCACTTAGCTTCAGAACTATGAATTTCATATGAAAAAACATTATCCTCAAGCCGTAAGGTATATTTAAGACACATTGGAAAAAACAAGTTCTTTTATGCGTATATGAGCATTCCGTTCAACCGGAAAGAAATTCGTTTCTTTTCACACTATCCAGACGTATCCAGTCTCTTGTCCTATATGTGCTACAGGCCCTATCCACGCGATTAACTTACTGGAAAGGGAAGATTTTCACTTATCTCAGTGCAGTTATGGTAATGAGAAAGCGAGGAGCTTTTCTATTTCGGACCCATTCAATTTAGTGAAATTGTGCTTAGAAAAACAGATATGCTTTACTTGGACTCGTACTGAACAGATCTACAATAGGTACCTCAGAAAGGTACCCACTTTGTGCGTGAAATAGGTACATCAAGAAGAACCCACTTTGTGCGAAATACGACAAAAACTGACTAGCGACCTGGATCTTGTCGATGACTTACCTGTGAGGAACGGCAGTTCTGAGTACCACGCCGTGGGAAACACAACGTCACGGACACCCAGAACCTTAGCCAGTGAGACTGCAGGTTTCTCGAATATAATGTCGAAGCAAGTGAATATTCCGAACGTCACTCCGAAATCTGTATCGAAGACGGAGAGTTCCGCTTCAGAGGTGATATTGAACCATACCTCGCCAAACAAGTTGAATTTGCGGTACCTAAAATATAGAAGTAAATGCACACCTTTGAAACTGTTTATCCGTTCTCTATTTAGCCCACTTGGGGCACCTAGTTTTTCACACTAGGGTAATATTAAAATGTACCTTGGAGAAACAGTGTGTGTGTGGGTGTGGGCTGCCATAGATAGGAGTCCTTAAAGGGAACTTGTGAACAAGGCAATAAAACTCACACATCTATCAGACGAGATTTTTTTCGCTAGTTCGGCGACTGTAAAGTTTTTGAGCAGTACTGAGCTCAATGGAATTAGTTCAATTAGTAATTCGTTTATAGTTGTTATTTCATAGCAATGTTTCAACTGCATACGCGATACAAAGTTGATGGGAAGGTCATCACTAATAGCATACAGGTTTAAGAGAAGCCATCAAGAAGAGCTTTAAAGTACTATCCTGCAATGTCCTAGAGAGACTAAGGACATCATGTAAGGGCCGCGCCATAGCTCAAGCGGTTAGTCGCTGGTTTCCGACCAGGCGGCCTGGGTTCGATCCCGGGTCTGGTCAAGTGGGATTTGTGGTGGACTAAATGGCGCTAGGGCGAGTTTTCTCCTAGTTTTTCGGTTTCCCTTGCCAATCTTCATTCCACCAAATTCTCCATCATCATAATCACCCGGGGCAGGTACAATAGGCCAATCAGTGGCCGCCGTGCCGAGTGGACCCAGTTTGACTCCACCCCCCACTAGGCGAAATTAAGGACATCAAAGGCGAACCTCAGTAATTCAGACGAGATTCGGCTGTTTAACTAGCAGAAGTCTCGAGTGTTGCCGCTACACCCAAATACACAACTTGCACAACTTGTTCAAGCACTGACAATGACCAACACATGAAATTGTACCGTTGTGTGAGAACAGTATGTAACAACAGAGGCATAGATTGAATATTGTACAGGCGACTTCCTCTCTTGACTGCCATGCTTAGAGACTCGAACTATCCGCTTAATTTTCATCTATGAGCATAAGCTTACATTCCTAGTTAACCACGTATACAGCGATAGCGATGTATTTAAGTGTGAACAAGAGAACTTGTAACCGAAGTGCCAATAAATCCAATCATCCGAACGAGAACCCGTTATTTTCGTCACGCGTACCCTCCTACACGTGATAATATTTACACTCCTTAGAAAATTAATTTTTATATAACCAAGAGACGTGTTAACGTCAGTCCAGAAAACTGCCGAATCCACAAACGCTGTGTTGCATTTATCGAATATCGAATTGAAAATGAGTAAATGGCCACAGGAAGAGATACTTTCCGCCCCGAGTCTACCCGATCTCAGTATACTAGATTTCTCTGGCACAGGACTCTTTCTTGAAGGACACAGAAATTGTAACATATAGCTGTCCCCGTGATTGCATGATTGAGCACTATGCCATGAAAACAACACGAGGGCGTGGAGATATAGGTCCACCATTCTTGATCTCGTCACTAGATGAAGGCAAGTAGTCAGTTTCACGCTCCGGCCGCTTTAAACGACAAAATATTCTTCTAAAACGTGACTTCACTCCAAGAGTCTGAAGTCTGAAGTGAAGAATTTCGGAAGCAACAGCTGCAGTTACGCAACAGCGGAGAGGTACACTGGGCGTAAGCGAAGCTACAGAGCCCATATCTGAATAAGTGCCACAAGTAAAAATTGTGTTCTTCCTGATTGATATTCTGTTCTATTGTTCTGCCAGACAGCTTTGAATACATATTTCAATATAAATCACCGGCTTACATTTACTGAACCCAACAACAGTTAACCTCAATGATATAACTCATTCAGCACTCACTGTTAACTGTTTAATAAGGAAATCAGAGAAACGTAATTCTCAGAGCTGTATGATATATCTCCTGTAATTTGCAACAGAATACTTTAAGAGAGGTTTGTGGTATATTTACTTATTTATTCGTTCATTTATTTCCAGTTCATTGCATTCCTCAGGAACTCTGATCACAGAGTGCCTAATAACTAGATCCTAGTGTAAAAGGAACTGGAAATTATGAGGAAGGAAACGACCCAAATTGAGGGAAACTTCAGTCAGGACATTCTGTGTCAACGCAGAGATTAGATCCAGACTCCGCCAAAACACAAATCAGAAATAAGATATAAAAGTTTGTGACAATGGTACATTGCTACAAGTATTATATTTTTGGCCATCTTCCTGTCTATTTTCCAAAAAAACTCCTGTCTATTTCTCAAAACACACAACGTTTCGGAGACTGGATTCTGTCTTGAAAAATAAACAGAAAAATGGGAATAGAAAATAGAAAATAGACAGGACTATGGACAACGGTCAAAATTATAATACTTGTAACAAATCAGAAAACTTACCGCTTGAACTAACCTCTAATTTTCTTGTGGTGTAAAGTGTTATGTGTACAGTAATGTACTGTCACGTTTTAGCACTAAGAACCTGATATTAGGAACCTCACCTCGCCACGACGGTTCCGTTTCGGTCAAATACAACGTTGCTGTTGTAGTAGACGACGCCTGATGATGACCAATTAGTGGCGTCGGGGCAGGGATGCACCTCCGGAAGATTTACCACGACATAGATGCTGTGATTCCGAGCCGCACAAGACAGTGTGCGAATGGCCTGAAATATTGGGTGAAGTAACCTCGTGAGGATGACATTTCACCTAGCTGCGACACAAGTTACTAATTCTATGGAGAGGTATCTTCACTCAGCTGGTCAAGAGATTCAATACGTTTTACAGGAACACTGAAATTCATCACCGTTTTCAAAAGAGAGAACCACTTCATCTTATCCTGAACCGTAGAATCCAGTCTACCATCTCATTTCTCGTTTCAGTGAGAATCAATCTCATCCCTCTATCTAGTCTAGGTACGTCTTTAACCTTAAGGTTTCCCCACCAAAACGCTCTATGCACTTCATATCTGATTATGCAAGCTGCCCCCTCCCATTTTATCCTGCTTGATATCTTAATCCTAAAAGTATCTGGTTAAAGGCAAAAATTATGAAGCTCCTTCTTGTATAGGCCTAATTATTTCCTATCTTCTACTGTTTCCTAAGTCCCAGTATAAGCTAAGCTAAAAAGCTATCCTTGCAACAGGCCGTGAAGGCCCACAGGGTTGTGAGACGTCGAGACTCCCATAATTATCTAGACATTTAACTAACAGATGGCGGTGGCGGTGGGGTTGTCAGCCTTACGCGCCGGCCGCCCNNNCCCCCCCCCCCCCCCCAGGAAGACTCCTGGTGCTCATTTCTGTTAGAGGCTGAGTCGAACCAAGGGCCATACTGTGGCTGGAAGGATTAGGTCAAGTGAAAAAATCCACCTCATTGGGAATCAATCCCGCGACCTTCCGGCTTGTGGCATAGTGCCTCAACCAACTACGCTACCGCGAGCCCCAAGTTTCAGTATACTCTTCAATTATTACCACGAACATGTGCTTTTCCGTCACAGAGGAAGAGGCAACACTTCACACTCACATAAGAAAACAGAAAACAAATTGTTTTTAAGTTCAGTCTTTAGGTTCGTAAACAGCAGACGGCAGGACGAAATATTCCGAACTGAAATGCAGCAAGATTGACCCACATCCAATTGGTTCTTAACTTTGCTGTGAATGTAATTCTGATTCGTTGCTGTTGTACCAAAATATTACACCTTTGCAATTAAGTAATAAGTAATAAAGTAAGTAATAAGTAATAAAAAATAAATGATAATAATGATAATATGTGTTGAAGCATGAATGAACAGAATTAACAAAAGTAGCGGATACTTCATACACCAAGTAATTATGATGTGAGATTTGAGGTTTTCAAGGCGGTGACTTTGATGGATGCCATCTTCTTGGATGTGATGCCGTGTAGATATTGTATAAACCGACGTTTCGGAGGAACGTACCGCCTCCATCTGAGTCAGTCTGCAGCCACCTGCTCGCGCTGGTTCCTCTCTAGCGATTTTTATACCCTGAAGAGGGAGACGATATGTTCCTCCGAAACGTAGGTTCATACAAGATCTACACGACGCCACAACCCAGAGACGGCATCATTCAATCATGATGTTACCGTATATGTTCAGATGTGTTCAGTTACTTTTGTTCAATATATATGGACAAATACCGTCTTAAGTGCAACAATTTTATTGTAGTTTTTACTTATTTTTCCTCTTCCACACTACATGTTTCGGCCCTAATTGGCCGAAACATGTAGTGTGGAGGAGGAAAAAGAAGTAAAAACTACAATAAAATTGTTGCACTTAAGACGGTATTTGTCCATATATATTGTGTGAGTGTAACAGGATGCTGAAATATAATATTACTTTTGTTCAACTTAATATGATCTTGTCTTCATGGGAGCGCATGTTCAGCAGACCTTAAATATTTTGAAGTTTAATTAAGTTACCTCCGCCACGTTGCTTGAAGTGTCTGTGCAGGGATTCACTCGATCGTCAGGATGTGGCAAGGGAGTAGCAAACTTCGTGGAACTTCCATAGGTGACCAGTCCGCACTCCGGAAACACGATGATGTCCACTTCCTGCAGCAAGTAAAACAGTCACTGCTTTACACATTAGGGAATATGCCCTGACCTTGATGATAGCCCGATAGATGCCGCGAAGTGACTATCATTCCCTCTGGGTATGAACGTTGTGCTAACTCCTAACTCTCGTGACCGAAGTTTCGACCTTCTCCCACACGTTCTGAAATTAACTATTAAGACCACCTTCCAAATATTTTCTTATTCAAAATGAACTTTGCAGTAGAAGCTTAATGAATGTCGTGGTTCAAATAGGCGTCAAAAAAGCAATGTATTGAGCGGGTATGAACATAGAGAAGGCATTGTGTGACACGTGGCAAACACATTTCATCACAAGCTGTTTCTTGTAGCAAATAAACTGCAACATTATGAACGCCATTTATCATAGTTAAGCAGCATTTCAGCTCCCATTTAAAATAAATCCCTTCGCTGTATGTCTACTCTATTTCCCTGATGGCTTCCTAGAGGTCTGTTGTCCAGCTGCAAGGAAGAATGATACAGGATGAATTGCGCTTAGGGGAAATTCAGTGATCGGTGATCAGCAGGACCCGGATTTTGATGACATGTCATCTTTTTTTCCTTGTATCCTATGCGATGCTCTTAAATAAATAAATCTCGGATATGAGCTGCTGGTTACAGAAATGTAAATTTTATAGGTAATTTTTTGTCATTTTTTGACATTTTTAGGTTTAAGGTAATTTTCTGGTAAATTTTTGGACTTTTAAGGGTATTTCTTGTCTTTTTGGCCATTTTAGGGAATTTTTCTTCATATGTTTTCTGAAATGTGAATAATATGGAAGCGAAGTGTTCTTTCTCTTTCTCCTTTACGTAATTTTTCTGGATTTTTTCGGCCATTTTATAGGTCATTTTTTAAACATTTTCAGATCATCAAAATCCGGGCCCTGGTGATCAGTAAGCAGTCAGTACGTGTACCGATGCCCCGATTGGACGAGTTCATATCGCTCCAAAAACATCGTGAAATAAAGCTTTGTATAGAGAGACCCTAGCCGGTCACGGTAGCCTAGAGGTCTGAGTCATGTACTGTCTTCGCTCGCTTGGAAACCGGGATCGTGGGTTCGAATCCCACTCAGGGCATGGATGTTAATTTGTGTGTGTTTGTTCTGTGTTTGTGTACTGGTAGAGGCCTTGCGACGAGCTGATCACCCGCCCAAGGAGTCCTACCGAATGTGTAAGATCTAGAAAAACCGAAGTGAACGGAAAAGTTCATGGAGGTAGGCCTAGACCCACTGGGGCTGTAGTGCTAAGGAAAAAAATAGAGAGACCCTGACTCCGTTCTGCTGACGCCCTTTACTGTTCAGTCAATTAGGTTTAGCTTTAAGTTCCCCACAATATATTTTAGCAAATACGCGGAGCACTTTGATCGGGTTGACGAGTTCACGGCACCGCGCTTCTGGGCGACCAGTGCACCGCGTGCTGTTGGATGCATGCAAGTTTCGCCGATGACTCAGCATGCTTGATGGCTGATAACGTTTGGAATGAAGGAAAATAATTAATTTGTAGACGTCTACATGGTATTATGTTCGTGCATCGGAGTTTGTTTATGATTTGTCAACAGTGGGCAGCTGGTATCAGCACAATGAGCCTTTTGTTCCCAGTTACAGTTAGTAAGCAGTGTGGCACGACATGGTTCGCTATACTTGGAGCAAGGCGTATTTCTGTATGACACCAACGTGAAATACGGATCTGCTAGAAAGTGTCGACGAAAATTTCGGCTTGAAGTTCGTGATGAAAGAGTTCCCATCAGACAAACAGTTCACAAGTTTGTGAATAGACTTAGAACAACGGGACTCTTAATAGACAAAAAGCATAAGTGCCGAGTACTTACTGAGGAAAAATTAATGACATAGGGGCCAGACTTGAACATACATCTAGAAAGTTACTGAAACGTCTAGCTCAAGAGACTGGAGTATTAAAGTCCAGTGCAAGAACGACGACACAATTGCTGAAGCGATCCACTGAAAATTGGTGTCTGGTGTGCTGTAAGTGCAAGAAGTATTGTTGTACGTGTGTTTTAACGAAACAATAAATTGCGAAAGATATTTATATGAAGATTAACAGCGTTTTCAACACCTTCCTGTGATCTGTGAACAAAGGTAAGAACTTTCCTTCATTCCAAATGTTATCGGTAAGCTGATTCATCGGTAATATTCGCATGCGCTCCCCGGCAAGCGGCGCTCCGGTCCCCGCGAAGCACAGGACTGTGAACGCGTCAAGTTTACTAAAAAAAACACTGTATAATACTGATGAATGAGTATGGGCAATGACAGACAATATGGTCATCCATTATTATAATCTAGAGATAATACTAGTGCCTTCTTTTCTGAGAAAGATAAGATAAATACGGACATCATGGAAATTGAAATTATATTTTACCAATACGAACTAAAGTCATGCAACAACACTTAGCGTAATGTGAAATATATCAGAAATAATCCATATTTGATGAGTATTTCTGAGATTAAATATCTCGGCGAAGAAAATCAAAAGAGATAAGAACAATTAGGTCTTCATTTAGTGCATTCTTTAGGAAACTGATACAAAATGACAAATGTGAAAAGGACTTATCTCCTGTGGGATTAACATTCAGTACCCATGGGAAACCTGTTAGATTACACGAGTTACGAATCAACTACTCTTCACAGTTTGCTCTTGTGAAAAACGGCGCGATTATCTGTATTGGTAATATACGAGTAGTTTCAGTTTGTGCATGTTTGGCGAAAAGTTGACGTAGGTTTTAGTTTTCTGCCTGACAACTAACACTCAATGTGTTAAGCCAATACCTGGGGAACAAAGTTACAACTTATCTCCTTCGGCAATTGATGTATGCCATCTTCTCTGAAAGGAGAGGCGGTATGCACTCATACTGTGACAAGCAGCGCAGTGGTTCCTGACAGCTCTAAATTTGCAGCACCAGCAAAACTGAATGTGGTGTCTAAGGGCTTCTTGCACTGGTCTCAGTTACTTATGTAGCTTAATAATATTGATTTGCAGTTAATTTGTTTAACAGTTCTGTTTCAACTGTCGAAGTTACATGGAGTAGAAAAAAATATGCGAAGAGGATCATGAATGTTAATCAGATAAATATTTTGGAAATATGTGCTCGTAGCCTATTTGAAGATCGCCGTGGCCTGTAGTCCGCAAGCAAACTATACCGATCGAGGGACCTCCGCTTTTCAGCGAAGTTAGTGTCAACTTTTGCGGTTAGACGGTGTAAATTTGTCAGCGCAACGGATCCCCACGGCCATTAATCTCGGTTTTCTATACCGCAGCCCTTATTTCCTTGAAATAGCTCCTCAGTTATCCTGCGAACCCCGTTCCAGACACACTACTTCTCAGAAAATCTGGTAGCCCTGAGAATCGAACCCGGGACCTCTGCTTCTGTAGCAGGAACTCTGGCCGCTAGACCACAGAGGCGGTCCCTATTTGAAGATATTACGTACAATATTGAATACATAAGCGAACTCATAATATAGAATCTTGGTTGTCTGTATATCCGTCTGTATACTTAGGGATGATAATATTTGCTGATTTGAGAAGGGAAAGTCTACATTAAATGTTCTCCGAGGAAGAACCTTAAGTTAGCGACAGTGAAAAATAGGTAAATTTTACATTTCGAGAACTAATGAATATATGCCTTCAGGAGAACAGAAACATTTGCTGCTCAAGTATGCTTCCGAGCTCTTTAGGTGTAAGGCACTGAAGCTTTACACATGAAGGGCATAAGCAGAATTCCAGATTGCAGAAATAAATGCCGGGAGACTCGAAAAGCTGGAAGTAAATAGAATCTCAGAATTTTTAAATATGATCCAAGTGGAAACGAAAAGTTGGAGGATCGGCAGAAGGATAGGCTGAACAAAGGTGACCTTATGGGACTGCATAAGTCCATTTAATGTTAATAGCGTCACTTTCAATTTTACCTCTTTAGAGTCATATGATTATGTAAATTTGGAAGGGCATGCGGTAGCGTACGTGGTTGAGGCACTACGCTACAAGCCGCAAGGTAGCGAGTTCGATTCTCGATGAGGTGGATTTCTTCAGTTTACCCAATCCATCCAGCCGCACTATGGCCCTGGGGTCGACTGAGCCTCTAACAGAAAAAAGTACCAGGAATCTTCCTGGAGGATAAAGGGAGGCCAGAACGTAAGGCTGACAACCTTACCGCCATCTGTGAGCTGATTATCTAGAGACACTCTGGGACCCTCAACTTCTCACTAACCTATGACCCTTCATGGCCTGTTAGAGGGATAGTGTTTTATATAAAGTTGGCAATGAAGCCACGGTTTAAAAACTATAACTTAAATGAAAAACTTCGTTTAACTTGGAATCCAATGCACGACATATGATGCCTGGTAAATTAAAGAAATATTTTCTTTCGCCCATAGCTGACAATTGATTGTGCTTCCGATTTCATAGAAAATGGGAACGTACGAATGTAGTGTTTATAGGCACTTCAGGGTCGACGCCTATACATATATGCTTCTGTAGATTGAGCCTAGATACCCTTCTGTTAATCTGGCTAAAAAATTAATTTGAAAAATGCGTCTATCAGGCTGCGAAGCTGTCTAGCACTTGGTGCATAGCGCAGTAAAGTTAGCAATAAATAATTCGTTGAAGGAAGAGAATGAGGAACTATGTGCTATTGTTCTCTGTTTGCAAGCCTGCTTATATCAAGCTGTATCGTCAATAAGAGCCATTATTCCTAATTAGATACTATCCATTACTAAACAACCAGTAATAAAGAAGAGCTTAATAATGTAATTAACGAAGCTGTAACTAGTAACATGCAGCCCCGTAACAGAAAACTGAAAGAAGAACTGATTAATGCAGAGTCACAGCTTGGTTTTTTTCCTGACAAAACACAAGGAAGTGAAAGATTAAAGAAAGTAAACCTATCCCTGTAAGAGGCCGTGAAGGGCCACAGGGCTGTGGGACGTTGAGGGTCCTACATTTCCTCTAGACAATCGGCTCAAAGATGGCGGTAATGTTGTCAGCCTTACGCGCCGGTCGCCCTTTACCCCCCAGGAAGATTCCTGGTACTCATTTCTGTTAGAAGCTGAGTCGACCCCGGAGCCATATTGCGGCTGGATGGATTAGGTCAATTGAAAAAGAAATCCAATGACCTCATCGGGAATCAAACCCGCGACCTTCCGGCTTATGATATAGTGCCGCAACCAACTGCGCTATCCCGTCATTCAGAGTTAAAGGCATGCAGCATTAAAGAACCTGGGATGCAGATATTCCCATAACTGTTTACGTAAATGCTTCAGAAATAATACACGTGGGTAGTATGAATTGTGAGCGAGGACTGCGAAATGCTGCGCAAACTGGGGTGCGCAGTGCGTAATGTCTTGTTTCTTGGATTGATAAATTTCGTTGTACACGTCATCAATATATCTGACATTTTTAACCACGAGGAAAAACAACTGTTTTCCTACAGTTCCCATAATAAACAAAATGGGCACACATAACTTACAGAGTTTATGACATATATTTATTGTAGTCGCATAATATAATCTTTTCGTGACTTACATATTTCATACCGAGACTGACTGTAAATTTAGATCAAGCGTTTGTATTGCCATTATAACATGAACAGTTGAGTGTATTTCATTGAACAGTCTATACAAGTAGTTCCTCCGGTAACGCCTCGTTATTTCCGTGAGGGACGTGCCATTAGTAAATACAAACAGTCCAACAAAACATAACACTGTTCACTGACTTATTCAGTTGTATTAAAATCATTATTGTTCCTGACTATATCGATTTATATATTACGCACTTGTGTTTCCTATTTTCTTTGATTCTGAGCTTTTACTTTCTCTGTCTTTCAGTCTGTTTTCTAACGAATTTTATTCCTATAAGTGATGTCTTCGTTAAAATTTAACGTTGAAATTGAAATTATTTCAAAAACCTTAGTTTCCGCAGCAACCTGTATCCTTTTCGATACTGAACGCAAAACGGTGCGGGTCCAGGACACTAAAGAAGAAAAACAGATGACGACACGTCGAAAAGAAGGAGGAGATAGGGGAGGAAGAGGAGATTCAGCATTAGAAATGGAAGAAGCAAAGTTAGAAAGCAGAGGAGGGGAAGGAGGAGACAAGGGAGGAGTATGGAATTGAAGATAAGATTGAAAGGAAAAGAGTAAATATAAAAAGGAGAAGGAGCAAAATTATGAAGAGAAAACATTTCTTCGTGATGCTTTAGATCGGAATTCTTGCAGTATTTCAGTTCCCAACCGAAGGCATGAGCAGCCCATAAACGGAAGCGATGTAAGAAAGTGTAGCGTTCTTGAAGAAAGCAGAAATATTGCTGAAGGACTTTAGAGGAACAGACTATTTGTAGACCTATACATACATGGAATGAGACTATTAAAATGTATTTTAAAGAAATTTAGGTATGGAATGGATTAAACTGGCCCAAGCAGGTTCAACTGCCGTGCTCTTGTGAAAAAATAATGAATTTAATGTTTTTCGGTGATCATCACAACAACTAATAAATAAAATTAATATTAAATTGTTTAATGTCGCTTCTAGTTATTAGCTGTTGTGTTGACTGCCATCAAAATACCTTAATTACAATGTACACAACAGGCTGCAAAAAATAAAGATGAAGTACCGTTAATGAATATTTCGGTTCGTTTAAAAGTGTGGGAAGGACGTGACCAGGTGAGCGACTATGAGCTTCGCAAGACAGGCCCTGACAGACGGAGTTAGTTTTATCTTCACGAAATGCAATTTTAACTGTTTTCAGAAGTCCACGGGTTGCCTGCCTTCCATCATGGCGGGTAATCCTGAGTGACGTGTTTTGCTGCAGTATGACGTAGCGTTACGACATCGGATCCGCGACTTGCCAATTTCCTTCCATTCTTCACTCGGCCTGACAAGGGGCCCTGCCTTCCTAGAACTTCACTTTAGGAAGTGTCAAGGCGGTCCTGATTCTTTAACCTCAGATTGTGACCTCATTTCCTTCAAGCGAGAGATTTACTCCATTTAGCTTTGTGGGTGTATCTTCCAGATATGTCAACTCACTCCCTCTTCCTGCTTCACGTCCTTAGTCCCAAATTTCAGACGAGGGGGAAGGGGAAGGGGGAGGGAGACACACAAGACGCAAGTGATCGCTGGCGAACATACGTCGCTCATTCTGTATTTCAGCATCCCGTTGCATTTGTTCAAATTAGCGTCCATTGTTTATCTTCCGTCAAAATTGCAACACTTTTACATTGTACACTTCAACACTACATGTTTCGGCCTGAAACGGCCATTTTCAGCTGTCTTTATATTACGCATATTTTACTAAAACTGTGTTAAAAACTGCTACACTGGTTTAATTCGTGTTAAAATCACACGTTGTAGTCTTCTTAAGTAAAACTAAATAAAATCCTTTAAAATTTCTATTTCATATTATTTCACCTCACCTCACCTTGATACATTTACGAAAATGACGACACCGCCGGCGAGGTGAAATATTATGCAACATAAATTTTAAAGGATTTTATCTCGTTTTACATAAGAAGACTACAGCATGTGATTTGAACACGAATTAAAACAGTGTAGCAGTTTTTAATACAGTTTTAGTAAAATATCTGTAACATAAAAACACCTAAAGATGGCCGTTTGAGGTCAAAACATGTAGTTTGAAGTGTAGAATGTAAAAGTGTTGCAATTTTGACGGAAGATAAACAATAGACGCTAATACGTCGCTCAACTCATGCGTTTATTAATCACATTTTCTTCGCAAAGACTGAGTACTCGTTACTTTGTTTAATTCTGCCATCTCAGCTACACAATTTTCTTAGTGTCGAATGGAGAATGAGTGTAATAATATAGTAGCAGAATGCAAGAGATTCTAAAGGTTATGACGATGGTGGATGACAGAATTACTGGGTTTTGGGACTCTTTTCCATCGTCCGAAATTCTAAGAAATAGAAAACACGACGTTTCGGAAACTGAATCTTTTTCCGTCTTCATGTGAGGAAGAAAGACGACTATTCAGTTGGGCCCCTTAAAATGAGCTAATCTCAATCACTGGTCCACTGATTAAGTGTTTTCCTTCCTCATCAGAAGACGGAAACAGAGCCAGTTTCCGAAACGTCGTGTTTTCTATTTCTTAGAATTCCGGACGATGGAAAAAGTCCAAAAACCCAGTAATTCTGTGATTCAGAATACAGTGACATGATGGAAAACCACCAAAGAGCCCAGGCATGACAACCGTCGCCTTTGTGCCGAGATCTGACAGGAAGCGGAAGGACTATAATCTCTGAAAGAAGACGTCCTGTTGTACGGCAAAGGTATGATGTTTCATTGCCCTTGGAAGAGAAGTGTTCATTAGAATTGGCTGAAACTTCACACACGCTATCGACTTAACAACTTTCGTACTGAACGTCGCGGTGTAGCTGGCGGTATTCCTGAATCCTACTTTAAATGTACCTTGTTCAATTCTCGGTCCAGATCCTGGCCATCCTAACTGAAGTTCCTCGCATTTATTTTCCTTAGTCCACGCATGCGTACGACGGAATAGTGATTTAGAGCTTACCATAACAGCTTCAGTCTATCTCTCCCAATTAACTGGTTAAATAGCAGGGCTGTCTCAGTCTGTATAGCGACTAACCTAAATTGCGTTTCGATTCCCGGTATGGAGAAAAAGATTTTTTTCTCCCCTATAACGTCCAGCCCGACATTGGGACCCACATAGCGTACTCATAATGAGTACCAGGGACTATGTCTCCATGGCTGGGGCATGGAGCTAACCACTCACCTCCATTTAATGTCGATGTCAAGAATGGTGGAGTTATACCACCAATCCGCCATTGGTCTTCATGGCTTGTGCTTAATTAATTAAGACCAGGTATATAAGATTTGAAGGTTTCCTGGCCGTGACTATGAAGAATGCCGTCTTCTGGGATATGGAGCCGTGTAGATATTTTGTTAACCGACATTTCGGAGGAACGTATCGTCTCCATGTTCAGGGTATAAGAAATCTCACGGTAACCTTGCTTTTCCCTTCCCCCGACATGATCTTATACCTGTTCTGGCCTGCTGCCTGCTGGTCCATCTCTCCAGACCCTTCCCCTCTCCTCTCCCATGTGGTCCCCCTCCCTTCTTTCTTATATAGCTGGGTGTCTTGACTGGTACTTAGTCTATAGACATCTGCTCACGCTGGTAAATTGCTCGCGGATTTCTTATACCCTGAAGACAGAGGTGATACTTCCTCCGAAACGTCGGTTAACAAAATACATATCTACACGGAGCCACATCCCAGAAGACGGAATTTCTCTAGACCAAGTATAGTTTTACCTTGCCGGTAATTTAAAAGCACAGTTATTTTAGCACTGTGTCCACTAGCTTTCGTGACTATTTTACTAATTTATTCAAAGACCATCGTTCTTTATATAATCACCTGGTAATCTCCTTCAGTTACGTCTGGGCCTTTTTTTTCTATTAAGCATTTGATAGGATTAACAACATACCAAACAGAGAAGCAGTGAGTTCTTTTTTGCGAGCACCTACTAAGGATGTGGAGTCACGGAGGCGCTGCCTAGAAACGTGACTACAATTTAGTCAAATAAGCTATGAGTTAAGGGAAAGTACAAAATCCAACCATGAAATAGCATACCATATGTGTTGATGTAACTGCATGATATGTAACAACAGGATTTCGTTTCCTAATGCCATTTCTTCACGGATTTTGTTACAGGTGTTATCACCCACCTGTTCCGCCGCCCGCCTGATGAGCGGGACATACTGCGCCACGTTCTTTGAGACGATATCGGCGACACTATCTCCCGGGGAGCCTGTGTCGGGGGAGTACTCCACCACAGCAGCCACATACGTAGGAGAATCTGGCGTCGAGACCTGGCAGAGAACATCATGCACAGTGCAGCAGCATGAAGAAATGAAAATAAATAGAAGACATTCACTTTCATCTTATCTTAACGATTGATGTGTCAGTTACCGTAACCTACACATTCAACTTCACATCTATGAAAACTGAAATTAAATACATTTCTCAATAAATAAAAAACTAAATATTTAAAAATGAATTCTTTGTTCTGTGATATAACACCTTGTAGATGCAGTGAAAGTCAACCGACGTTCAAAGTTGCTTTCTGTGTGTTTCGTGCTGGTTTCTTACTTGATTTACTCTTCGGCCCTTAAGAAGTAGGACGACCGAGGGGTCAGGGTTCGAATCCTGGTAAGGTCAAGTCTCTTCTCCATGTCGTCCAGATTGACTCTGTGGCCCACCCAGCCTCCTATCCAATGAACACCGGGGGCTCTTTCTCTGGGGGTAAAGCGGCAGGTGTATGAAGCTGACCACTCACCCCCAGCTAGTGCCGAGGTCAAGAAAATGTGGATTTATACATCCAGTCCCCCATACGCCTTCATGGCGTAGTGCTTAATTAGATAAGCATAAGGACAACACTACCTTTACCTGTATCTAAATATTTATAAAACTGATTTAACAATTTCGGTAGTACTGATTTTAGGCATTCTAGGATTTGAATTGCTGTCAACGTTTCGTTGGAAGTCAGAAATAAATTTACGATTGTGGTCTGGAACATAATATTTCGGTAAAGAGGGTATTAATGTCGTTTTTTATTAAAACTGGCATGATTGTGTTTTAAATTGTATGTAGAATATAAGAATAGATCAAATATATGTTAATATCAGCATTTAATTTACTTGCTCCTAATTCGTACAAAAGGTTGCGCCCAAACTGAAATGACAATATCATAATCTCCAAGGAAGATCCATTTAAAACGGATTCCCGTCAAACCCCTGTGTAGGCTACTCTCCTCTGTCTGGGAGGCCCATTCTGTCTGCACTTTTACGGCTCTTTCATGCTCTGTAGTATGCTAGAAACCTAAAGAAAAAGAGAGTAACTTCCTCCGAAACGTCCGTACCTGACTAGACACCGTCATTTCCACGAAAATAGCTGTCTTCATCGTAATTGCCAAGAGAACTCATATTTCAAAAGCTCTTACTTTTTGTTGCATAAAAGAAACGGAGACAGACAAAAAGTGAAGTCAAACTGAGCGCGAGAATCAGCCTTTTATTAGCGGCTAACGCACAGGATGTGTATGTCCAGAGCATGCAGCTATTAGCATTCTCATTATTAATTTGTGCACACAGCTTGGCGTATGTTTATTTGGATCTCACTGCGTTATTTCGTATTTGGGAACTTCATTTTGCTGCTTTGCTACAAATGAAAGCAGAGAACACAAGTACTAAAATAGCATTTGAATACTTTAAGATAAGCAAATAATCCTCTTACACATTCCCCTCGTGCATATGAGGAATTCATTTTGAATAAAACACATACGAGGTCTGACAATTAATTTCGCGAACTCGTCAACGTGTGCTTGCCATAGCAGCAGTGGACGAAAGCCTCAGTGTGGTTCCATCACGTTGACATATTAACTTTTCACAGCTGTGTTGTTGTTGATCTATGGCAGTCTCTTTCTGAGTGGCGCCTATTATTGTCTGTGTGTGTTTTGGTGTGACGTCGCGAGAATGTTGGAGCTTGAATTAGAGCACTGTGAGGGAGTTTTTAGCTAGTAAACAAATAAGTGTGCTGGAACACATTCCCTATTCACCGGACCTAGCCCCCAGTGACTTTCTTCTGTTCTCGAAGATAAAGGAAATATTGAACGGAGGCATTTTGATGACACTGATGACATCAGGAGCAATACGACAGCAGATCTGAAGGTCAATCCACAAAACCAGTCCCAAAATTGATTTGAAGGGTGGACTAGGCGCTGGCATCGGTACATACTTTGAAGGCGACTACAGTGATATTCAGCAGTGAGGTATGTAGCACTTTTACCGCGGTGAGTTCGCGAAATTTACTGTCAGACCACGTAGATGTGATCCATCCTATTTATACATAACTGATATCTGTCAATGTCCTGCATTTCAGACGTTGGACAGACTGTATCAGAGGTGGCACAAACCTGAGCGCTTGGTTGCAGGATAGCTATAGAAAAAACCAGCCGACAAATGACGGACCTCATATCCGATGTGCTTAACTAATGATCTGTAAGAAACAAGTAAAAATCATACTAGTTTATCATGAGACATTTTCGCCGTTATGTTTATACTAACTTCGGAATGGCAAGTCATCCAATGTAAATAAGCTTTATGTAAATAATAAACTGCACTTCAATACTAGACTTTTCATTTCGTCTAAGACGGGGTCTCCAAAGTGTTCCCTATCAATCACATTTTCCCATTAAAACTGTATCAGTAATTCTCATACCCTACTGCATGTTACATATGTCGGCCATTGCATCCTCTTTAGTTCACTTCCCACTTTTTCTGTCATTTCTCGAAGAGTAACAAATTCTGACACTCTCAGTTATGTAATTTTCTCACTTCTTTTATAATTTCCTCGTTATTAACTCCAAAGTACCTATTACTGAAACATTCTCAATCTGAGGTCTTCCCGTAGGGCGAGAGATTATTTTTGAATACATACAAAACAACTGATAATGTTATGACTTCATACTGTTGGTTCATTGTCATCCTTATCCTGTCTGACCTATGTCCTTCTCCAGGGTCTCTGATAGACCTCTAGATGTGAATGAACCTCACTTACTCATGGAGCTGAGCCTTTCTTGAGGAGAAGCCAAGTCTGCAGTTGCTCAAAAATTTCCCATCATTTTGTGGAACCCATGTGCCGAATGAACCTACTGTGTATAATGCAGTTTTAGAAGTTGATGAAGACGGGTGTGGCTTATTTCAAGGCAGTATCTCTAAATTCTTCCTGAGATAATGAGAAAACAACGAGCGAGAACATCAGGTAACTCCTCCGAGATCCGAACGGAGTATGCAAGTCTGGAACATTACCAGTACCGAGATGAAAATTGCAGAACAGCCCTTTTACCTACAGCATTTTCCTCAGGCTCATGTGAGAAGAAATGATTAGTGAATTGTTTGTCTAATTAATGAACACGTTTATTAAGGAAAGAGTGTACGCCTACTACAATTAAAACAAAATTGAAATGACCTCACGCCATATTTTAAATTTACGCAAAGAACATAAGACACTTTTCTCGAAGACCATTCCTTTCCAAGCTAAAATACAATTTCCTTCGGCTCATCCATTCAGTAAATATGCCTGAAAATATACATGAAGTACTGAACACCTTACTTACATGCGAACCTAATGCAACGCCGTTGTCAACTGAACTATATTTGCTTCTTGAACAATACAAAGTGTCTGGCTTGAATAAATACAAAATAGTTCAAGGTTCAAGCTTCATAAAGATAAGCTTAATCACGTCGGGACACTTTCAGTTGGAGATAAACTACGCATCTGAAAATAGTAGTGTAGATAAAGTTGTGTCAACAAGCAGTGAATATGTGTAAATTACGTAGAATACGTGAAAGGTTGAAGAGATGTTAGGCAACAAACACAAACACAAACACAATGATATCCTCAGTTCATCACGCCCTATAACATAAGAATATGCTGGAGCTGTGTTCCTCACGACAGTGGCTGTTAACATTACTGTGTGTTGGGTGTGACGCCATGTAGTTTGGTACAGAGTTACGAAATTATCAGAGGAACTTATCTCCCAGATTTTATAGCATAACACCCCAGAAGAGCAATAACAATGGGGAAATGTTACATGATTACAAACAATTTGTAATTTAATTCATTACTAAACAATATTTTAAACTCAAATTATATAAATTTTCCTAAATAAACTACTTACCTACCTACAAGAGGGTGCCTGACTTGTATTACGAAGTTTTAAAAATGTTTGTGTCCAGAATATTATGTACAGTCTTCGGGAGCACTCTATACAGAGATTTGCTCATGGCTACAATTTGGCTGCAATGAATTTGTACCATCCAGGACGAAGGAAGGTTTGATGTATCTTGAAATAATTATTGTAGTATAACATACAAGATCTACAGAATAAGACTGCACAAGCCTCAGGACATTGAATAAGGACGGCAGTGTATTCAAAAAAGCATACTGTGACATGAGCCTGGAAGCTGCAACATGCTCATCTGCTGGGCGGGGCATAGCGGGGCGCGTTCCAGTGGTAACACAAATACACCGTTACTCTGGGTTTTGATGGAACTGTTGAGGACATATCCATGGCAACGACATTTCAAACAAACTGTTACCATGGATATGAAAAACAGAAATCTTCACGGAGATGATTCATATCCCATCCGCCTACCAGGGATAAACGGAAGTCAGTCGAGAAGCCGTAAGTTCAGAGTGAGTCACAAGAAGGAGGAGAATAGGAGAGGACACAGAAAGGCAAGAATACGGCAGAACGCGAAGTGACTCGGCAACGAATCAAGGCGCTTTCGAGAACGAAGCAGAGCTACCCAGAGAGGGATTCGTTATCCAGAAAGAGTGAAATGTGTGAACTGTTATAACTGAGCGTGATTGTGATAGTGACGTCAAATATACCTAATCATCAAATCTAGAATCCACAGTTATTAGTCACGCGTACCCCCCTTACACGTGACAATATGAAATACGGTCCTCAGGGTAATATGTATAACAGAACAGCGAAATATCCCCCCTGGATCGACAATGAAAGGTGCGTCACTTTTCTGCTCCGCCTCTGCTTGACATCTATGAACCTACAAGAATGAAAGCCAAACAAGGCAATGTACTTATAACTCTGACACTTTACTAACACAGTAGTTAGCTGCATATGCCTTGTTCGAACTGTCCATAAATTTCCTGATATCATCAGAATGTTTTCCGTTGTGTCCTAAAATAATTCTAACAGCGCTTCTTTCCGTGAATAATGCTTTCAGATGCACTTTCATCATTGTTGACTCTTCAGCAGTCACGGGTATGTTGATCGATTTGAGCTTCGGCACGTGTACGCCGGACAGCCGACAGCTTATCAGAACACGCATTATAAGCAACATTCGTCCTCACGTCTTTGAACAGTATCATCTTTTCATAAACCTTCCTTGATTTCGTATAGTAATCATCATATTGAGATGTCCCTCTCTCGCATCCCCTGGCCACACAAATAGGATTAGAGTACCTTCTTTTCTCCGGCAAAGAGTAAACCCTCGATTTATGGAACCCCGATTTAAAGGACAAAAGTCTTCGGTACTTCCCTGTTATTCTCCTGTTGCTATGTCGATACTTCTCCATAATTGCCTGGTTCATTGTCTCCGATCGCTCGGACGCTGGGGTCACGGGTTCGAATCCCACTCAAGGCGTAGGTGTTTGGTGCCTGTATGCGTTTATTCTGTGTTTGTGTTGTCCTGTGTTTAGGTAGCGGCCTTGCGACGAGCTGATCACACGTACAAGGAGTCCTACCGTCTGTGGAAAATGATTACGGAACCGAATAAGAGGCCTGGGCCCTGAATAAGCTGAAAGAGCCCATGAGAAAAATAACCTGGTTCGTAACTCGCCAGCTGCAAGGGCAACACATATCCAGTATACAACTCGTTCTACCGTTAATTAATGTGTGTTGTGCTGCGTTTGGTTTGTTTCCTTTTATAATTTTTTAATTAACACACCATGGACAAAAAAAAAAAGAGGAAAAGGGTCGAACTTTAGTGTATAACAAAATTTAGAATTGATTGAAAAATTAGAATTTGGGTCTAACGGATATTCGGCAATATCGGATAACCCCTCCCCAAAATCAATCTCTTAAATCACGGACGTATTCTGTCAATTGTTGCAGCCATGATAAACAATTCTGTTATACAAAAGAGTAGAGATGTTAATGCAAATGAGGAAATGTTCACTTAGTTTTTATATTCTCTATTTTTCTCAGCGGTTCCGAGATTAATTATAAGATAAACTGAAATTTATTTGACTTTTAACTAGCTCCTGTATATGCAATCGTCTCAATGAAGGCAACCTTTGAGTCTAGAACTACTACCATTTTTAATTAGATTATGTCACTAAAGAGGACAGACTTGTCTAGCTGATTCAAGACAACCCACTCGATGCTTCACTGACAGTGGAAGCAGTGGCAGAAATATAGGGGCTTCATCAAGGATTTCGGGCTGCATAACATCTTTCCGTACATGACTTCTATATATCTGTGAGCTGTGTGCGTAAATAAACGTGCATTTATGGACACCTGTGGCTTTTACTATCTGTCTCTTGTGAGAATTTTGCGATATACGTCCAAAGGGCATATAGATACTTGAGTAAGAGGGTAAATCAATAAGTAAGTTAAAAATGGACATACAACTTAAACAAATAAGAGTACTTATTTGAAAAATGCTTTTATTTCTCAACATAATCTCCCTGTACATTGAGGCACTTGTTCCATCGTTTCACAAGCCCCTGAAAACCAGCAGCATAAAATTCTTTGGGCTGCTGTCGGAGCCAGGCGTGTTAACACGGCATGGCCTACCTCATAATGCATGACAGGTTAGGTTTTCACAAAGTCTGTGCACGATGGGTGGAGCGCATGCTGACCTCACAGCACAAAATGCAAAGAATGGGTCTGGCATCACATCATCTCAATCGCTACCACGATGAAGGACACGATATTCTAGCCCGAATTGTCATAGGTGATGAGTCTTGGGTTCACCATTACCGCGGTGAGCGTTATGCCTCCGTGATCCCAGAAGAATGTTAGCATCACTTTCCTGGAGGATGGTTTCACCTTAAACTTTTTTTGTCAGGTGTATCAGTGAATAAAAGCCGGGTTTGCATTGGTAATTGAATTTATTGGCCACTTACAGGTCATAACTACAATTATGTCTTAGACCTTCAAGATCACTCTAATTATATCACATAAAGTCTTCAATGTCTGTTAACTCTTCACAGCTGAAATCTCACAGCTCGTTTCGTAACGACTTCGTGTCCTTGACTCACGGTTTCTCAGCCATGACTGACTACAAACGACCTTCACTGTCACCTATAAACCTTCAGCACGAACGACGCAGAAAACTTCTATTATTGTAGACGTGTTTACAGTTCTGCTGCTTAGCGCTGGGCATGGCGCGGACCAGACTGAAAACACTTGTTCTGTTGTCTTCTGTAACCTAGTAACGGACTCTTTACTAAGAATCTGTCTTCGCGGGAACTTGTTTGCCAACATTTTGCATAGTAATGAGTACACATGTAACAACAACAACAATATGTAAAGAAGAGTGTAATTTTTCTCCTGTCTCCTGTCAATTCCTCACTTTTAACTCCACGTGTATTACTGTGCACTCTATTCTGAAGGACAGTCAGTCTGTGCTCTTCTCCTGTTATGAGAGACCGAGTTTCATAACCATGCATTACAACAAGGAGAGCGGAGCTGATCATACGTATTTATTTATTTTAAGAACAAATGTAGGTTATATGGATGCTGTAAGCCAGTAGTTTAGTGCATCCCATTTTGTTCAAGTGTCATATGTGCGTGGAGAACTAAGCAGGAAGAATCTTCCATCATATCCTCGCAAATTAACATCCATGGAGAGCCGTGTTTTGCATCACGTCGGACATTATCATGCTAATTTGAGAGCACAATGCCCCCAGACGCGGCATTATCTGACGTCATTACGTCAGAGTCCATGTCATTGTTCAGTAACACTGATATTGTGTTATATCGCTTTAATGGAGGGACAGGAAAACTGTAATATAGCTGCTCTGTTATACTGGTCTTAACCATTTAGAGAAAACTGGTAATTATATATACCACAGTATTGAACTATGCATATTGCACAAACTGTACGTTTATATTTCCTTGTATGAATAAACATGGTTAAGGTTAACTGCTCTATAGTACACAAATGCTGCACGTATGCTCCTAGCTCGTCATGAAGTTCTGGTTTGCTAAATACAGATCTATTGCAGGAAATCTAATCGTATTACTGGTGTCCCACCGCGCATTTATAAAACCTTTTATATATTCAGTTCAGTACTCAGAACAAACGAAACGAACTCCGTGGCCTGTAGTCCGCAAGCTCTACTGTCACTGGCTCTACAGCCCCCTTGGGCCTTGGTCTCTGATTTTTTTCAGTTTCATGATTATTTTACAGACGGTAGGGTTCCTTGGACGAGTGATCAGCCCATCACAAGGCCTCTACCTAAACAAAGGACAATATAAACACAGAATAAACTCATACACGCACCAAACATCCATGCCTTGTGTGGGATTCGAACCCACGATCCCGGCTTCCCAGCGAGCGAAGACAGTACATGCCTTAGACCGCCCAGCTACTGTGGCCGATTTGCTATGGATTACGAGATTAAATTACCTTAGGGACGAAGAGTGTACTTCATATAATTAATTTCCTCATGTTTGCTGGAATAACTATTCGTACGAAAAAAAGTGTTTCAGGACATTCGTTTCATGGGCAATTTGTCATTTCAATCTCCGTAATGATATTTTTTGCGGGGTCTGGTTGTGTGTTTACCTTGTTGCCTTTTTGTTTCAGTTGAATTATTTTTTGTTATTCCTGACTGCGAGCAATTATGGAAGTTAAAAGACCCACAAATCCCCTAAGTCGAAATACCAACAACAACAGTACCAATGTGCTCGTCTGACGTATCAGTACAAACGTTATGTTTCTGGGCACTATCCATCTACCTGTCTTTATCTAGAAACACCGTCCTGTTTATTTTTCAAAACACAACTTTTCGGAGACTGGACTAGCTCTATCGATTGGGACCAACTGAGTAGGTTCCACCTAAAGACGGAGACAGAATCCAGTCTCCGAAACGCTGTGTTTTGAAAAATAAACAGACGGTTTTTTAATAATAGACAAGACGATGGATAATGTTAAAAAACATAATATTTGTAGCAATGTTCCATCGTCACAAACTTTTAGTTCTTCTTAGAAAATCTGTGTTTCTATACTGTTCTACAAATTAATCCTCAGAATATGGGCCAGCGACCCTCTGCTTCTCTAGAAGGACTACATTCCGTGGAGTTTATCACTAATATCTGTGGTCAGCCGCGCCATAAGTAAGCGGTTAGTCGCTGGCTTCCCACCGAGGCGGCCCTGGTTCAATCCCGGGTCTGGCCAAATGGAATTTGTGGTGGACAAAGTGGAGTTGGAGCAGGTTTTCTCTGAGTACTTCAGTTTCCCCTGCCAATCTTCATTCCACCAGTTTCTCCACAATCACCCTCACCTATCATCTGGGGCTCTTACAATAGGCTAGAAGTGGCTGCAGTACAAGGGACTTAGTCCCACCCCACTAGCAATAAAAAAACATGTGGTTTACATAGGACACAGTTTTTAACGGTACAGAATATTTGGAATTTAATTTTTATCACGAACGCCATATTGAGTTGATATTACCGTGTCAAACTGTTAACATTTCTATATCCGTAAAGAATATTAGTTTTTTATTTTAAAATACTCTTAATTAAATCAAATGTAGTAGGCCTAGTGATATGAAAAATGCATATTAAAATTCAAAGAGAGGAGTTATGTATATTACTAAGGCTAAAACCATCGGGTTCGATCCCGGGTCTGGTCAAGTGGGATTTATGGTGGACAAAGTGACACTGGGGCAGGTTTTCTCCGAGTACTTCGGTTTCCCCTGTCAATCTTCATTCCACCAATTGCTCCACAATCACCCTCACCTATCAACTGGGGCTGGTACAATAGGCCAGAAGTGGCCGCAGTACAAGGGACTTAGTCCCACACCGCTAGCAATAAGAAAAAGGCTGAAGCCGGAAGGTCACGGTATCAAATCCCGATGAGGTCATTGAATATCGTCCTGAGGTCGACTCAGCCTCTAACAGAAATGAGTACCAGGAATATTCTTCGTGGTACAGGGCGGCCGGGGCGTAAGGCTGACAACCTTACCGCCATCTGAGAGCCGATTGTCTAGAAAATGTGGGGGCTTCAACATCTCACAACCCTATGGGCCCCCAAGGCCTGTTATAGGGATACCTTTACTTGTTTTTAGTTTTTTACACAGCATTGAATATTTGCAATGTGATACGTGGGTTATGAGACGGAACGAGGGGAGAGCAACAGAAGTCGTAATAAATTCCTCTCATCATTTTTCGTAGTAACGCTGAAAGGGACATATTGCGTAGTGAGGATACAAGAATCTCATTGAAAACTATAGGCACGCCTGATTACAAACAAAACGATCAGTTAAACTGAGACGATAGGTAAAAAGAATTTTAGAGAAGGTCCCTGAAATAACTTTCACGTACATTCCCAAGGGAAGACTAGAGGCAACTAGACTTAGAAGCAAACAGAAAGCACCAACTATCTGTGTAGAAAAGGAAGAAACAATCATTTGAGA